CAGTAAGTGTCGCTTTGCCCAGCGCAAAGTGGACTTCCTAGGACACCATGTGTCTGACCAGGGTCTCCACATGGACGACGCGAAGATCACTGCTACTGCAGAGTGGCCCGTCCCCACATCTGCCAAGCAGCTTCGCAGTTTCGTAGGCCTCACCAGCTACTATAGTTATTTTATCCAGGGATACGCTAGGTATTCCTACGTCCTTACCTCTACCCTCCTCCGGAAGAACCCGCCGTGGTTTTGGACACCCCTGTGCGAGGACGCATTTCGCGCCCCCAAGAAGGCGGTGACCTGTGCGCCGGTTCTTCACCTTCCCGATTTTGATTGCCCCTTTATCGTCACCACCGATGCGTCAGATTTTGCAGTAGGAGCTGTCCTTTCTCAGGTGTTTCCCTCTCCTCCAGATTCACCTTACCCCCATGTTCCTCCTTTCCCCCCCTCTCCTGCTGACACTGCTTCTCGACTGACGCCTACCCTCCCACCACTTCCCTCCACTGACAGTCCTCCTGTTACTTACTCCTCGACCATCGCGGAGGATGGGATTGTCGAGTCTCGTGTTGGGGATTACCCGATTGCTTTCTACTCCCGTCAGCTACTGCCTGCCGAGATAAACTACACTGCCGATGAACGTGAGGTTCTCGCAGTAGTTTATGCTACCCGACATTGGTGTCATTATCTGTACGGGGCGCCCTTCACGGTGCGCACGGACAACTAAGTTGTCCAGGCTTTCCTCATGAAGCCTAAGCTTTTCCCTCGACAGGCACGCTGGTGGCGTGACTTATCCGAGTTGAGTTTCACCACTCAGCCCATCAAGGGTGAAACGAACCGCATCGCCGATGCCTTGTCCCACCGTCCTGATCACAATCAGGAACCCATCCATCTTGCTGTCATCTCCATCACCACTGTTGATCAGTCGGTGATCGACGCGTATCGTACTCAGTACCGCCACTGCCCCGATTATCGCGTCATCCACGCGACACTGCGGAGTGGCAAGACCGTTCCTTCCTAGTCCCTCGGGGAGAACGACCTCGTGTACTGACATGGCAAATCTGGTCAGCTAGAACCACGTATCTGTGTTCCCTCCACCGGACAGCTCCGCGTCCAGGCTGTAGCAGAGTTCCATGACCAGGCAGTTGCCGGTCATATGGGTTTCCACAAGACGTTGGCTCGTGTTTGCCGCGTATACGTCTGGCCGAAGTCCAATGACTTTGTCAAAGCTTACATCCAAGAGTGTCCTGCCTGCCAGGAGGTGAACAGCGCGAACCACCTTCCGTATGGGTTACTTCGGCCCCTACCCATACCTGAAGGTCGTTGGCAGTCCATCTCGATGGATTTCATTGGTCCCCTCCGCCCACCCACTGAGCGTGGTCATGATGCTATCTTGGTCGTCGTCGATCGCTTCACGAAGCGTGCACGTTTTGTCCCGTCCCGCTATCGCATTAGCGCTCATGAGGTCGCCGACATCGTCTTCGACCGAGTCATGAGAGATCACGGCTTACCTCAGAGCATCATCTCCGACCGTGACCCGCGCTTTAACAGCACATTCTGGCGACGCCTACACGAGGTGTACAGATCCCAGCTCCGCTTCTCATCGTCTTACCACCCTCAAACGGATGGTCAGACTGAGGTCACCAATAAAACTCTCGGTAATATCCTCCGAAAGTTTGTTAGGGATGACCAGCAGTGGGACTTACACTTAGCTCACGCGGAGATTGCGTACAACCACGTTGTTTCGCCAGCCACGGGGATGTCGCCATTCTATTGCGACCTCGGCTACCACCCTCGCGTACCCGCGAATTTCCTACGACCATCGCGGTTGCGCCCAGACACTCGTTTCCCTGCGCTTGACGACTGGATCGCCCACATGGCGGCGATTATGAAGCGCGCACACGAGAGTTTAGCCGACTCCCAGACTCGCATGGCCACACGAGCGAACCGATCACGAATGGATCATCCATTCAAAGTCGGTGATGATGTGCTCGTCGATGCACACCACTTACAGCTCGAAGCAGATACGCTTCGCAAGTTCAGGCGTCCTTTCTTCGGTCCATGCCGCATCCTTCAGGCCGTCGGTTCTGATACTGCCGCTAGTCCGGTCAGCTTCCGTGTGAAGCTACCTGATTACCTTCGACAGGTTCGCGTACACGATGTTTACCACGTCTCCTTGTTGCGTCCTTATCGCAGACCGTCCGAGCGCTTTGCCGGACGCCCTTATGAGCGCCCTCCACCTATCATGGTGGACGGTCACGACGAGTTCCTTGTTTCCGACATCGTATCACGCCGAGTTACCGACGATACCCCTCCACGCATCGAGTACCTTGTGCGTTGGAAGGGCTACCCTGATGAGGAGGCTACTTGGGTACCCCTCGAGCACTTGCAGCACGCTAGGATGTTGGTGCGTACATATAATCGTGCTCGTCATGCTGAGACATCTGCTTCTACTCAGTTGACTGACACTCTTCCTCCTCCTCCGGCTGAGGAGATTGCTGAGGACGTGCCCGCTCCCTCTGAGGCCGTTCCTCAGCCGCAGATGGTCGCCTCCGAGCGTCCACAGCGCATTCATCGTCGCCCTTCGCGTTACGATGACTGACACTCTTATCCTCTATCTTTCCCCACTGACTCACACCATCAGGTACTCCATCATCATCTCTTCTTCAGGATGTCAGCGTTTTGCGGCTCTGCTTCGACATTGACTCCACTGCTACTTTATCGACGTCATCGACCACTTCGACGACTTTAGCTACGTTGGACGTGACTACTTCACGTCACCACCCTACCCTGCATACTCCCTTGCCTCTGTCGCATGATGGGTCTCACTTAGCTAGGTCTCTTTGAGTTTGGCTCTCCCTTGATATCGCATAGGCATTGGGACCGTAGCGTTATCTTGGCTTCCTTGCTCCCAGATCTAGCTCCATCTCCCAGTCGGTGAGTTGTGTGCATGTTTCCCTCACCCACTGCCCTCATCACCCTAGCGCCGGCTATTGTATGCCTCCAGTTCGGCATAGCTCCACCCTATTCCAGGCTTCCCTTTTCATGGTCGACCCTGCATGGTGTCACCCTTTTGTCGAGCATTACCCGCCTTGATGGTCTATCTGTTAGGGTCATTGGTTTTGTTTCGCTACCACTCTCCCACCTTGGGCCTGATGACCTATCCCACCTTCATGTGTTACTGCCCTTAGGAGTTTCGATTCTTAAGCTGCATTCACCCCCTCTGAGACCATCCCACTCTTAGTGGTTCAACGACATGACATTATCTTGTGACATATTGCTCTTTTCCTTTCAGCACTGAGGCCATTGCCTCCAGGACTTTAGGATTGTATCATAGTACATTTCATTTTCTGCTGTTAGCTAGGATATGTATACTAGACATTTGCTTTTCTTTTGACATTATGTACCTTAGGATGCATCGCATGGACTCCGCATGGAGCTTGTTCCGCATCCGAGATTTCTCAGCTTTCTTTATTGCAGAGTTCCGCTGCTTTTGCGGATAACGTGTTTATGGCTCTTGCGATCCATTACAGGTCTGAGGATCGTGCAGCGGGCCTTCATCCGCCCTGGTCTACAGCCAGGGCCTATTTGGCTATTTGCCCAGTTCAGCCTGTGGGACCAGGCCGTGGCCTGACCCCACAGGCCGTGTGCTGTTCTAGTCCTGCCTGATACCACTGTCGGTACCAGGCCAGTCCAGTCCAGTCAGTCAGTCCGCTGGGGGTAAACCCCAGCAGTTGTCTGTTTTTCCTCATTCTTCATTTGCACAGATTGGAGTACGTGCGTGTTGAGTCTGCGTTGGAGCTGCGTTGTCCCTTCCAGCTCCATCTTCATCTCCCCCATCCTCATCCCTTTGTCTTGATGCCATCCCGGTGGCTCCGTCGCACGTACGCTGCTCCCTTCCTGTTTGGTCAGCATCTTGCGTCCGCTCCCATCATCCCATGTGACGCCCAACCTCACGTTTGGCGCGACTTCCTGATCGGAGTGTGAGTGGGCCTGGAAGACTTGGTGCGAAAAAGGTGGTGTGCCAAGGATTTTAGGAAAGTGGGGGTGGAGTCCCAGATCGGAACTGAGATCTCCTGTGGCCAGCTGTGGGATACGAATGCAGGAGGGTAGGCGTAGTCTTTGCTCCGGGGAACAGAGCTACCGTCTCCGTTGGTTCCGCCGTCCGGGTCGGGGTCATATCTGGTGCACTATCAAAACACTATGGGTGTCTCGCCGATTCGTCACCTGCTGACGTCGAATCTCGCAAGTTTCCGAATCCGACGCAGATGGCCTCAATCTAAGAATGTGCGCCCGTCGTTCTTCCTCCGAACAAGTTCGCCGGATGAAGCCGGAGGCTCGACACTCGTGGTCCCGAATACACTCTGAGCACGGGGGTTGGGGCCAGTAAGGAGCGATTGCGAGCCAGGGGATGATGGTTAGGGAGTGGCTGGGCAGGATGCGGTGATAGGGAGGGAATTCGGTCCCTAAGATAATGATTCCGGGCTCCGTGAGGACATGACACGTGTATGGGCAAGAGTAGCTGGGGAGATGGGGGTTACGTCCCAGGGCCTGGTCGAGGTCCCACTCGCAAATGCGTTCATCCCCCGTCAACGGCGTCAAGTAGGTAAATTCCCGAGGGTCCACCCAAGGTCGTGTAGGCAAACAAGAGTGCTCCCAATATTCCCGGAATTCCTGATCCCTCAAACACTCGCGGTCCGTGACACAAAAGGGAACGCCGAAATTCATGCTGCGAGTTGGGGTGGTACGCCGGCCATTCGGGAAATAAGTCGAGTTCAGGTTTCCCAGACGCGCATGTAGGCAGCGATCGTCTTTGGCTGAGCCTACACGTGCGTGCGCGGGACTTGTCCTTCGATCAGATGGGTGAAAGACAGCGATTCACGAGATGGATCATCCTATAGTGGGATGTTCATCTAATAGTCTAGCATGCCCATCCAATTCATACACAAACAGAATCACGCCTATCATCCATGCATCTAGCTCACACACAAACAAAAACGAGGATCATGCAACAATTCTTTGGCCAATCGGCGCCGAGATCGATCGCCGGGAACCTATGTATCACCCGCGGTCGTGACCTCGGGCCATTTTACTGACCGCGGTCGGGATCCCGCCCGCAGCTAAGTGCGGGCATGAAACCCCGAGAGTTTTTTCAGGGCCTAAAAATAAGCAAAAAATATATATATATATATCGTCAAATAGAACTGCCCGGTAAACCGTAGGCAGAGAGGGAGAAGAGGACAACAAACGAGGGGCTGTATATATATATATATATGGGCGTGTAGATTAAAAAAAGCTCTACACGCCTATGATTTTTAATAATTTTTTGTGACATCTACTGGAAGGGAAAAAAATCAAAAGCGAAAATAGAAAAAAAAAAATAAAAAAAAATCCGGTGATGATTTTTTTTTTCTCTATATTTTTCGTTTGTTGGGCCGGTGGAAAAACACTGCCCCCCTCGCCTATGAATCCCCCTCGGCGGCGGCCAAGCGCGGCGAAATCCTCGAACGCGGCCAGACTGCCGACTCTGCGGATGCGTCCGCGCGGACGCGTGGCGGCCGGTGGAGAGGGGGGTTCAGGATTTGGAAAGCGCCATGGGGCGGCGCATCCCCAGCCCCACCCCCTCAAACAAAAAAATATATAAAAAAACTATTTTTTATGTGGGGGGGGTTGGGTGAGTGATGGTATTAAAAATAAAAAAATAAAAAAATAAAAAAAACGTTGTTTTTTTTTTTTTTCGTTGATTGATTGATTGATTGATTGATTGGCCCCATAGGCGCACACACACACACACACAGAGGTAGGATTGTATATTCCCATGTCCTAGCCGAAGATTCATTCGATTTTGCTTTTTTTTTT